TTAGTATTAAAAAAATTCTTACAAGAACACCGTAGTCACTGTAGCTGCTTTGCTTCATTGAAGTGGTTATAGTGTCTGGAGTGTCCTTGTGCTATCCTTCTATTCTATTTTTAATGTTTAATGCTATACAAGAATCCCCAGTAGAGCATTCCCTCTATGCTGCTTGGGTTAATGAGGACGCATTAGCCTGAGCAGCAATGCTCAGCTGTGATTGTTGTGTTTGGCTGAGAGGGTCAGCTAATCTCTTTCAGCCTATCACAGCACCCATTCCTGGCATGAATTGGTACGGGTAGAAGGAAATCTGTGTCAGGGTCTTACCTGAAGTGGGAGTCCGGTGCAGAGATTTGTGCTCACCCTTGCAGATATACACAGTACAAGGCGATAAGGTTATAAACCACCAGGAATGTGGATCTGTGCATGAAAGGTGCTCCAATTCGCAGTACAGATAAGGATACAAGCAGAAGGATCGTTGAAGATAAGCCAAAGTCATAGGATGCCAGAGGTCAGGGTAAACAAGGAGGAAATCCAAGGTCAGGAGCCAGGGTCAATCTGGAGAACAGGTTTTCAGGAGACAAAAGAATAACAACACACAATCACCAGACTCAAAGAACTGACAATGTTCTCATGGAGAGGCAGGTTTAAATACCTAGCTAACTAGCTATCTTCCTCAGGTAGACATAGAGAGACAGGAGCAGCCACAGGTAAAGTCCAGCCCCCTAGTGCTGCAGACATGGCAGGATAGGACATCAGATAGAAACATGAATGCCAATGGTGACAGTCTGTAATCTCTGCCTTAAACATATCTCCAGTGAGGGCACGGCTGTGGGTGACCAGGGACCCTTATTTAGTATTAAACTGCCTGAAAATGGTTTAACCCTGAATGGAGGGACAGTGCCAGGGAACTCCAGGCACTATAACCAATTCAATGAGATGAAATGGTTATGATGCTTGCTGTGTCTCGAAAAGTGCTTTAAAATATTGTTTAATACAGAACAAAGGGACCTTAATAGGTGAGGAAATTAAACAGCGGATTATTAGCACAGCAGCAGCATGTAAAAGCCATGGCTGGGCACACATATAAAGGCCTGAAAGGCAAAAATGGCTGCAGAAAAAGAGAGAGGAAGGGAAGAGAGACAATACAGCATACTTCCTCTCCAGCCCCATAGAAACTATAGAGCACACAGCAAGTCCTCCGACACATGCAGATTGGGCAATAGCGATCATTACTAACATCAGGGAATTCCGGACACTATTATCAATTCAATGCTTTTAAGGTCTACAGTGAGATATTGAATCAGGGCCAATAGATCATGATACAGTGAGACGTATTATAAACCAATGATGATAAGTGGCATGGAGAAATGTACCAGGTTCTCCATTCATTCACTCGAAAAATGTGTTACTACTTTATTTAGTGGATACCAGTTTAAAGGTACAGTCAAATAATGGCCACAATGAATGACCTAGACATTTATTGTAACCTTTGTAAAGTTTGTTTCTAATATTTTCTAGACAATTCCTGGCACAAACTAACTAGTCTCCTTTTGGTTCTGTCAGAGGACTCTGACTTTTATTCCCCCTGTTAAATGAGTAGGAACCTTCCTTTCTGTCGTAGTTCTTACTGGTATAATAAAGCTAGTTATACTATCTGGGTCATAAAGAGTTGGATATCTTGTTAAAAGTATGACTGAAGATAACTCCCCTAAAGAGTTATAGACAATTGTGTGTTTCCTTAAGATGTTTTGGTCAGACATGTTATTGGAACCATGAAACAATACAAAGGATATAGTTAATACAAATGTTAAATGGCACATCGAATCAAGCAACTTAACAAAGAAGAATTAAATAACTATTTAATTAGAAACACTTCAGCATTAGAGGCACTTAGTCAAAGCATCAGCTGATACAATTCCTACACTAAAGTGGGAATTAAAAGTGAATTCAATGTGAATTCACTAAAATGTTATTCACCTTAAATTTCAAATTTCAGGCCAAAATTTTTAAATATTTTCTAACTCTATGCTTTCATTGTGGCTACTTTGGCGTAAAATATGAAATTCTCCTTTAATTTCATTTGAATTCTCACTTTAGTGTATATGTCAGGGTATATTTATGTATTTATAAAATATTTTACCAGGATGGATACATTGAGATTTCTCTCCTTGTCAAGTATCAGAGTTATAATGGTATAAAATAACATTATATGGACAGGAAAGATAGATTTTTTAAATATCATTATCATCATTTATATAGAGCCAACATATTCAGCAGTGTTTCAGAATATTACAGCAAATCCTTCCAATGATGTAATGCCAGCAGGTGGTGTTTAGAATGTAGATGTTATGATACCATAAGCTACAGATAGGAAATGAGATACACACCCACTCGACACATTTGACACTCAACTGCCTTTCAGTGCAAAAGCAGGCACCCAAGTTTCCATTTTACTGTGCTTTTTTATTTATTTATTTATTTATAAAATATTTTACCAGGATGAATACATAGAGATTTCTCTAGTTTTCAAGTATGTACTGGGTCCACAAAACAGTGCATTGGTACAATAGGATACAATATTAAAAAAATACAATATAAAAGCTATAAATATATACACACATATAAACATATATAAATGTAATACATAACAGGTAATAAATATATTCAACCATGACAGGTGCATTCTGTGCTGAGGTATATTGCCATAGATCTCTTAAAAGATTTTAGATTGAATGAAGATTTGACTGTGTCCCTGAGGTTATTCCATAATTGCGGTGCTCTGTAAGAAAAGGAGGATTGAACCACTTTATTTTTGTATTGCGGTATGCTAAATATCGTGCTAGTACTGGATCGAAGGTTATAGGAGGTGGGAGCAGCCGGGGAGAGCATTCTACTCAGGTAGGGTGGGAGCGTCCCAGAAATGCTCTTATGCACAAGGCAGGAAAGATGAAGAGTGTGTCAGGATTCCAGCGATAGCCAGTTTAGCTCTTTTAACATGTCACAGTGGTGGGTAAAGTAATTACATTCTAGTACAAAGCGGCAGAACAAATTACATAATGTATTACGTTTATTAAGGTGGGTTTTGCGGTGTAGGTGCATGCACTACATCCCCATAATCAATGACCGGCATTAGCATTTGTTGCACAGTTTCCTTACTGTAGGGCTTAGGCAGGATTTGTTTCTGTACAAGGCACCTAGTTTTGGGTAAAGTTATGAAGAGATTTTTTCAATGTGAAGGCCAAAGGATAGATTGGGGTCTAGCAACATACCTAGATATTTAAGAGAGCAGACTGCTGTCAGTGTGCTATTTGAATTTGTTCTGATACACAGTTGTTGATTTTGTAGTTTACGTAATTTAGGTACAGTTCCAAAGATCACTGTAACAGTTTTGTCAGTGTTTAGGAAGAGTTTGTTATCTGCTGTCCACTTTTCTACCTCAGTGAATTGGTTTTGGAGCACAGCTTCTAGCTGCGGTAGCTTGGGTTTACTAGTGTAGTTTACAGTGTCGTCTGCATACATTGAGGAATTGCAGACGTTAGGAAGATCGTTTCGAAATAATGGTAATAGCAGGGGGTGAGTATGGAGCATTGGGGAACACCACACATGACTGGAAGAGGGAGGGAAGCACTATCAGAAATGGCCACATATAGCAATCGGTCTGAAACATAAAATCAAAACCAGGTTAGCGGACGATCACTAATGCCTGAGTTTTTAAGTTTTTGCAGAAGAATGCCATGGTCTATTGTGTGAAAGGCCTTGGCAAAGTCAAGGAAAATATCTCCAGTTAAGTCTCCTTGTTCCATGCCAATTTGGATGTCATTGCAAACGTTTAAGAGGGCAGTCGAAGTTGAGTGATTTGGACGAAAGCCTGATCAATCAGGGGTCAGATAATTTGATTGTTAATAATATTCACATAGTTGCATGTGGACGCATTTTTCCAAGATTTTTGACAATACTGGGAGCAATGATATCGGGCGATAGTTAGATACCAAAGTATTGTCACCACTTTTATGGATAAGTACAACTTTTGCAGTCTTCCAAAGTTTGGGTATGTATCCTGACACCAGGGATTCATTGATAAGAATAGTGCCAGTTTTAGCAATTGCTGGCGCACTGAGCTTCAGCAACATTGCTGGGATTTGATTTGTTCTACACTGGTTTTACATTTTTAAATTATTAAGCTATTTGTTAACGACACTAACATTCACAGATCTAAAATTGAATTTCTCTTAATGAGGATTTTGAAGATTTGGCAGGGCCTGATATTTATTTGCGGTCTAAAAATTATACAAATAATAATAATTTGTTATCTTAGCAACCAGGGTGGTAGCACATCCAACAAAATAATCATTAAAGGCATTTGCTACATCTAGGGGGTGTTGCAGTGTTTGGCTGTCCATTTTGGCAGTGGAGGGTTGGGAGTGGATTGTGGGCGTTTGTATGCTATTTATGATTTTCCAAAAGTTTCTTGATTATGTCAAACTGCAATGTGCTAATCCGTCCATTAGTAGGAATATACAATAGACAAGCGGTCACTCATAAAGACTGGAAGAAAGGAGTTTTTGCTTACAGCAGAGGAAAGGTTTATTTACAGTAAGAACATCTATCTAACTATGTGCACAACGGTGCTTGAAAAGCATTAGATTGACCTTTTGCCTAAACTGTTTCTCACAATGCTGCAAGACGATTTGGATAAGGGACTCTGCAGTTTTGTGCACAGGACAGATTAGTGTCACTTGGTTTATGCCTTAAAATTAACAAATTGACTCTGCCTTTTGCATTTATCTTTTACCTTATACTAGAAAAGTGGTCTTCAGCCAGTGTGCTGTGCTGGTGTACCTTAAACCCACCTTAAAGTGTGCAGTGAAGACATGGGCTTTAAGGCTGTAATAAGTAGAATGTCAACATTAAAATTAAGCAATTAAATAAAACTAATAAATATATTGGACTTTAGGTCCATGTATCTAGAAAGACTTAGTGATAAATAAATGTGAAATTAAGAAGCGGCTGATGCCCAGTTGTGTCTGGTAAATTGTTCTCTCATTGTCTGCCTTAGTCCAAAAAATGTTGGAACCCACTGAAATAGATTAAGGTTCTTATGCCCACTACATACTCAATTATAATTCTGCTTTTGCAGCCTTGAATATCATGGAAAACTGATTGAGTTTCATAGCCCACTTGTTATTACTTGGTCAAATGCTCTCCTTTACGTAAGCAAGCCAAGAGTGTCAAGAAGTATTCTAGAGTTCAAAAGGCATTAAGACATGATGCAATGCAGCTGTGTCACAATATAAACTGACTAACCCGTAAAATCAACAGTGAATTAACCCTTTCAACTTTCCCCCCCTTCCCATACAACAAAGGGTGTAAGTGTATACAGTGACAGGAAAGCCCTTTGGTTTTCCCTTCTTAATTTACATTTCAGTGCCATGAATTGACAATGGATTTCTTTTCAGTTTCAAAAATGATCTTTGCACAACTTTGAAGTGGTCGCCAAAATCTCAAAAGCTGAATAAAAAGACAGTGTTGAGATGAACTGGCTATGAACCATATTTATTACATGCTGGCTAACGACCAAGACAAGCGGCTAGATGGTTCGTTTCTTGGTAAAAGGTGGATAGATAGACATACGGACAGATGAGCAGACATATGGACAGATGGATGAACGGATGGACAGACCGACAGACTTCTCTGAAGTTTGGCTCCTAACCTCTGACATTGCATTTCATTGTCATTAAATAATTGTTGTAAAATATATATATTTCCTCTATAATTATCTTTTTTATCATTTTGCATGAATTACATTTTACCCAAGTCATGAAGACATTAAGATACAGAAGTGAATCTAACTATTTTTTCTACATGTAACATATATAGGCTTATATAAATAACTGTTTAAGTGCCTTAGGATTTAGGAATACATGGTCATGCAAAGAGTGGTCCCCAACTATGAATTACGAATAATTAATTATAACATAAAGTATCCCATCCAAACTAATTAAAAATCCCCTATCTGGCATCAATGAACTATACTTTAATGTAAATACATTAGCAAACCCCCTTCTGACCTGTTACACGTACTCAAAACAATAATTCATCTGGATATTTTACTTTGATTGTCTCACACATGAAACATTTCATAGACCCTAAGGGTTTTCTCTCTTTTTTTTTTACAGTCCTCGGCACCACTCATAATTCATTATTATCGAGGTTAAACAAGCGTGCTTTCCTTCTGAAGAAACAGAGATTTGTAGAAACAAAATAAAACGCTCACTGTCTTTTGAACTGTAATGTATATAATTTACCATATAAATCTCAATGTTTTAGTTTGCATCTGATATGAGCTAGGGTTTGAATAGAGATGTGGTACATCTTGAGAGAGACTTTGTAGCCCTTTGTGACATAATGTCGGATTTAATCAAAGTGGAAATTTTTGATGCCAAAAAACCTACATTGAATAACAAAAAAATATCAGTAGATATATATATATATATATATTCCAAGAAATAGAACTCCATCCTGTACATCACATTTTTGATGTACCTAACAGGTTGAACCACTCCATTTAATTTCCAATAAGTATGCGCTTAAATCATTTTCTCATGGTGCTCAACTAGGGTTACACTATGTGCTGTAGTTTAAAGAATCTTGATGTAGCACCTTTGCATGTGAAACTGCTTCCATACTTGGAATGGATAGAAGTTATACCTAATGCATTATAAATATTAGCAATGTCCCTCGACTACAGAATCATTGAATGTAACTAAATGTAATTTTTCAATATATTTTATGGAATTCTGTCCCGAAATTGCTTCAGTATAGCTGCTGTTTTTTTGCTTCCTAAAGTGGAGTGCGAATGTTTTTACAATATGACTCCGTATATAAGTCTACCTGTCAATTACTGTGCTCCAAATACAAATAATTGTTTGTAAACTAGCAAAGGTTAAATGTGTATTTTCTTACGAATGTATTTGACAATATTTTTACAATTTTTTTTAAATTATAAGAATTTAATTTACAGTGTACTCTGACACTTTAATAAAAGTCCACACATGCATTAAAAAAATCTCCTACAGGAAGCTCCTAAAAAAAATGGGCAAAAAATGAAAATAACAAAACTACAAAAGATAACTTTAATCTGTGTTTGTTTAAAGCTAAGAGTAAAGTTAATTTGGCAAATGATTTATATCTAGTTTAATGGGCTACTAACTGTAAATTATCTGGATTTTGCACTACCCAATAGCTAACTAGAGTTATAGCTAAATACATTATTTAAAGATTGGGCCATTTTTTGTGGTATAATATTTATTGACAACAATGACGAAGGTAAAGTACAAAATGAAGGTGAAAGGAAGAATAACAGAGTACCCATATAAAACAAATCTTCAGAAAGTTGAAGAAAAAGAAAAGAAGAAAAAAAAAATTCCAGAAAAGCAGCAAGGAACTAGGTATAGCGGTTTTGGAATTTCTGTTTCAAGGCATGGCTCTGGAAACTCAAATAATGGGAAAGTGGAAAAAAATGGAGGGGGAAGGATCAAGATAAGATGGTGCCTCTCCTCCTTCAGAAGGCAAGAATGGACCTTAAATGGTCCAGAATTATTTGCAAGTCTCACCAGAGAGAGAAGAGGCCCTGGAATTTTGGATATGTGTGACCTGAAGTGGCAGTTATCCATATCATTGTGAATCTATGAAATAGTGGGAGCAGCAGAATTTCCTTGTTTAGTAATTCTCATTTTGGTGAAAGTACAAATGCATTGAACCAATTGATAAGATGTCTGGTCAAGGAACTGTTCTCTAATCTCACTATTCAAAGGTCCACTCCAGAACTGCAAGACTTAGAGTAATTGTGACTTGTGGAATATCGCTTGGGACCTGAAAAGCCCAAGCCCAAATATAGGTTATAAATATGCTCATCCACCACACAAGTTCCCATTTGACCACAACCCCTTGTACAGAGGGGTTTAACTAAAGCATAGATGTGGTGGAGTTTTGTTGGATACAAGTACTATCTCGAGAGAACTTTGTAACAACGCTACTATATATTGTAGCTATTGTAGAAAGTAGTGATGCGAAAGGTGACAGATACAATCTGGTCTACTCGTCCTCTCCCAGTTTCTCCACAATATGCTTTTCCCATTATGATCTATAACCAAGGTCCAGCAAATAAAATCTGTTTAGAAGATGAGAAGATATTGAAGAGATATAGCTTGCACCTTTCCATCTTTGTTAGCCCAGTGCTTCAAAGAAAATAGAACTATAGGTGGGATAACTAGAAAAGTTGAAGACTACAAAATGTTACTGGAATTGTGTTATTTTTTTTAATAAACTATTTATTTTTTTAACATAGTATGCCAAGCTGTCCAGACACGCCAAGAGCCTACAATATATGTTACTGAATCCCCTATGATGCCTTACTCATGGTCATAGCGAGGGTGCATTCTCTTGAACATCATGAAGATAGCTCCATGCACACAACCACTAGAAAACAGATGTGTGGGTATGAACATTTAATCCAAAGCATTACAGATTGAGTGCTTTTAGTGAGCATTACTAACAGGTTATGGGTTCCAAACAATTTAAAATAAACTTATATTCAAAATAATAATGTGGCGCTACTTTAACACAAAGAACAAATAGTTCAAAATGCCTGAGACTGGATGCATTTATTTTCAGAAATGCAAATTCATCCAAATGTATTAAAAAGATGAACAAACAAATAATTTCTATAAGGAAGAAACAACTATTTGCTTCAAGAACAAAATTTGCCCAGAAAAGGGCTTTGATCTTGCTCCTTGCAATTTATTTTAGCTTTTAAAAGGAAGTTCCAGACAGCAGAACTGCCCGCTGCTTCTCACCTCCATCCCATGTCCTTAGGGATGAGGGTTTAAATTTTCTAATAAACAGGGGACTTGGTGCAGGGTGCAGACTTTATAATTAACAGTTTCTTTAGAACCAGAAAGGAGTCCCCATATATACCAAATAAGAGAATTCACATTTATGCTTTAAATTCTTAAAGTGTTCGTGAAAGTTGGAATATTAAATAAGAGTAGAATTTCTTGTTTTACTTGCTGATTTTATTTCTACATACCGAAAATGGCAATATTTTACAGTTTATAGAGAAGCATTTAATAAGTATTAATAGTGAAAATTCAACTTCCTGATAAAGGTGTGGAAAAATCCTTATAAACAACAGTTTATTGATAAGATCAAAGCTAAATCGCTATCCCAAATCTGTGAGCCAAGAGAAATATTGTATTGGAAATTGTTCAATTAACTAAGTAAATATATGCACACAAATAGAAAAATATTCGTGTCCTTTTTGGAAAAGTTGAAATTCTTTGGCTAGGAGAGGTTTATCAATCAAGAGCTTTATTTGTCCATATTTCACCCTGCTGCCCTTATTAGAACGCCAATACAAATAAGCGGAAATATGTTAAAAAGCTCTATCTGTGCTAAAAGTTCTTACGTACATAATGTGACCAGACAAATTAGAAAACCATCTCAGCTAAGAATATTTCAAAACAGCTTTAATTATGTAGCATCAGACCAACAGGGCTCGGCTCCCAGTAAACACATTTTATGAGTGGTTAAAAAAGGGACCTTTATAATTACAGCTTAAAGGGAACACACATTATTATATGTCAGATCACACACAGAAGAGAAAATAGCACAGACAGTAAAAAAGGGGGATAAAACATTTTTTAGATACATAAATGAGAAAAGAAAAGTAAAACAAGGATTAGTTAGATTAAAAACAAAAGAAGGAAGGTATGTAGAAGAGGATAAAGGTCAGGCTGACTGCCTCAATGAATATTTTTGTTCTGTATTTACAGAAGAAAATGAAGGAAAGGGACCTCAGTTGAGAAAAAGGATAAATGAGTCATTTATTACACGTGAGTTTACAGAGGAAGAGGTTCTATTTCAACTGGCAAAAGTAAAGACAAATAAGTCAATGGGACCTGATGGAATACACCCAAAGCTATTAAAAGAGCTTAGTGGTGTACTAGCAAAACCATTAACAGATTTATTTAACCAATCATTGTTAACAGGAGTAGTCCCAGAAGATTGGAAGTTAGCGAATGTTGTGCCCATTTACAAGAAAGGTAATAGGGAGGAGTCGGGCAACTATAGGCCAGTAAGCCTTACTTCAGTAGTGGGGAAAGTGATGGAAACCATGTTAAAGGATAGGATTGCTGAACATCTAAAAACACATGGATTTCAAGATCAGAGACAACATGGGTTTACT